CTCTCTCTCTCTCTCTCTCTCTCTCTCTCTCTCTCTCTCTCTCTCTCTCTCTCTCTCACTCTCACTCTCATCTCGGAGAAAAAGAGCTCCCGCGTCTCGCCAACTGAACTCACCTCTGCTACGCCGTTGCAACGATCGCATCGTACGTGCGTTTTCCCCGCAGCCGCACGTTACCACGCGCCGCATTATCATAATTATGCGAGGCCCGCGTGGAGTAACGGGTCGAGACGGACAATCGAATTACTCGACCGACCGTATTGGCCCAAGTTCTCGCGCCAACGTTCCGACGCCCGTGGGAAAACGGGCGTTTCCTCGGATCATAATTGCCCGCGTTTTCCACGTTGGCCGTAATTGCGCTCGCGCGGGCGGATAATAAAAGCGGTTTGAATTGCAAAAATCGCAACGCGAAGTCGCGCCGGAAAATCGGAGCGTGGGCTTGGTAAACGCGAGCGTTAATTAGAGCAGCAAAGCGGAGAGGCAGTGAGGGGCCGATTCTCCATCTGCTAATTAATAATTGCGCAGAAACGTCGTCGGATCGTCGCGAAATTAATGCCATATTCACGAGCCGCTCGTATCGAGCATCTCGCGCAATCGTGCGTTCGATTTCCCTATGGATGATGCTCTCCGGCGCTTCTTAACGGATGAATCTGCTACATAGTAGGCTGGTACCATAGAATTCTCGGACATAAGATTAAAATAATTTTTTTTAATATAGAAGAAATATTGTTTGAAAATTATAATAATAGAGCTCAATTGAATAATAATGATCACTTATTTTTCGTTCGTTTAAAGTAATGCAAAATAATTATGAATACAGATATCAAAGAACTATGTGAAAATATACTAAATAGCCACTTATGTGTACTCTTTCTTGGTTGTAATACTTAAATTATTTTGCATTTAAGTGAATATCCTATACTGAGAGAAATTATCCGATAAAAAATTAACAAACGAATATTTCCGATCAAATTTTTGTATCTAATCAGGAAACATCCGATGAAAAATGTTGGTTTATAATTTTTTGATTGGTTTATCTGATGAAATGCCATTATGATCGAAAGTAACCGATAAAATTTAATCGGGTATCCTGATCGGATATAAAAATTGATCGAAAATATTCGTTTGTTAATTTTTTATCGGATAATTTCCCTCAGTGTATAATTAGAGAACATTAATACATTACTGCGAGTGATCAATCCTCTTTAATTAATAATTAAAAACTTGCAAAATTATTAAGAAAATGGTAGAGCACTTTTTTGTTCAGTTTGATCTAATATACAAGTATACGATGGCAGACGTCACCATTACAGCTTATCTATTTTGTGTAATCATTTACAAACTTTTTAAAATTAATATCCTGATAATTATTGCGAATATCACAAAATGGTATAGAATTGTTCCCTTCAATTCATACTATGCGAGATTCAATTCATACGAGAGTACTCGAAGATTGTTCTGGGATACCTTGTACATGTAAAATTTAGTTGGATAATTACAACTTCATTGAGCGCCGATTTTTCGACGGGATCATTTTGCCGGGGTCGAATTCATCGCTTTTTTGGATCCCGAGGGTAAAAATGCCCTGTCAAGGCTCCTCTGCGCGTAAATCGCGCATTACCATGCTAATCGGCCCGTAAGTCGCCTCGGTGTGTCCTGTTAGTGCGAGAAATCGTTTGATTCTCCCACTTGGCTTGTCCTTCGGACAAATTCTCCCGCTATGATCGCGCGACCAGATAATAAAAGAGCGTATTTCCTTGACCCTTTCGTTGCAGCGCGCTCTACAGAAGTTTCGAGTGTTTTATCAAGAACTTGTATCAATCGAGCAATTGACGGAGGAGCGATAATTTACAAATATTACGCTTGCTACACTTGTATACCATATATGCTATCCCACTGCAGATATCTCGATCTATGAATGACTAATTAATCATCTAAGACCAACCAGAGTGGCAAGACACGTCTAATTGACTCGGAATACTCGAACGCCTTTTTCCTCACGATCTTTGCACGACGATCTCTCGCGCGTTTCTTGGCACGGAATAAAATAACGAGCGCGTCAAATTTTATCGCGGCGCTCGCACGGCCGCGTAATATATCGATCACTTTACTTTTGCCCTGTCGCCGCTAATAATAGCGTTTGGCCCGTCGTGGCGCCGGCCGAAATAGCGCTCCATCGTGCGAGAACGCGCGCGGCACAGCCAAATACCATAATTTGGAAAAGAAACCAGCTGCCGGAAGTGTTCGTTCTCTCTCCCACGAGCTGAACTTATTACTCTCGCAATAGTTGAAATTGATATGAAATAAGATATTTTCCACGCGAGAATTTCTAAATTGATTCCTCTTTTTGATCGACTTCAAAGAAAGAAGGCTCTCAGTTTGTCCTATATGTATTGTTTGTTTATTGGTACACAGAGAAAAATTATCCGATAAAAAATTAACAAACGGATATTTCCGATCAAAACACGGATGAATTTTTATATCCGATCAGAATATTCTGATCAGGATTAATTAAATTTAATCGAATATTTTCAATCATAATGGCGTTTTATCAGATGAACCGATCAAAAAATTATGAATCGATATTTCTCATCGGATGTTTTTTGATATCGGATACAAAAATTCATCGGTACTTTGATTGGAAACGTCTATTTGTTAATTTTTTATCGGATAATTTCTCTCATTGGTTCATTTATTAATCGCTCGAGAACCGCTAGAGATATTGAGATAAAACTTTTTTTGTAGCTTGTTTAGTATGTTATCTACATGCTTCTTAGGTTAGTTTACCCGGATTTGTCCGAATAACTTGGAAATTGGATAAATTTCATTACTGTTGCTATAAAAATTATATCGAGATATACAAGTCGAAATTTTTATATTTCATACTTTTTAGGGCTTTTGAGGTTTTCGAAGGTGGTTTATTTATGCAATTTTTTCCAGTTTCTTTTTCTCTCATTGAGAAGGAGATCGACTGTTTTGACTGACGACGCGTCAGTCCAAGGCAACTGAATCGCAACTTAAATTAGAGTAGAAATAAATCGCAATCTTTCCGATCATACGGGTCGTTTGCGTCTATAGAACGTCGAAGCAGCGTAGCTCGGGTCAAGCTCGTATCGCGTTCGTAAATGTTGCAATGCGAGTGCGGAGAATTGAAATTAAATGCGAAAAAAAAGTCGCGATCGAGCGAGTCGCTGGGACGAAATTACCGAGGAACTCGGAGGAACTGCACGCGCGACATTGAATCGGCCGATGTGGGTCGATTAAGATAATACGATTAACGTGCGCAACGATTATCGCACCGAGCGCACCCAGTTGCAAAATTGCGATTCACTGACGCACATCGCTCTGCATCGTACGAAGGCTACGAGTGTTTTTTTTGTCGATTAGTCTACAAACTTATTAGCATATTCGACGATTTTAATAGGCGTTGTGAACGCGAGTAAATGTGGATTTTTCAGCGATTTGTTCTGCGCGCTATCTATTTGAATCGCATTCGAGCTGCAGTTTGCAATGTATTTTAATAAAAATAATCTTTATTAACTGGAAATAATTCTTTAGCATACATATCCAGGCAAAAAAGTTGTAAGCATAGAATTGCAATACATATATATTTAAAGCTATCGAATTTAATTCTGGCTGCTATTACGTTTGTAGAAAACTTTTCTTTAGATAAAGCAACAATAAAGCCCGATCTACAATAGATGAAGTAGGAGTAAGACGAAATGGAAATAATTATTTCGCTTACTCCCTTACTCCGATAAAAGTTTGCCCGCATACATCACATGGAGTAAGTCTGAATTCAGTAATAAGAGCTGAAGTAAGGAGCTGGAGTAAGGGAGTAAGCGAAATAAATTATTTCCATTTCGTCTTACTCCTACTCCTTACTCCATCTATTGTAGATCGGGCCTATCACTCTTTGTTTGCGGGTTCACTTCGATACTGCGGCCCATTTTAAAACGTATATAAAAGATTCACCGAAGAATAACTCACTCGTATAACGTGAAAACAAATAATATGTGACAATCACCATGCTTTCTTCATGGATATTAATTTTAAGAAATACGTGTGTTACCATAAAAAATATTTTACTTATATCAAGTAAGGAAGATCTAGATGGCTCCTCGGAGCATGTTGTGCTTTATTTAACATTTATTTTAAGAAAAACACAATGGACACAAAATCGTAAAATAATCCTTTTAGAACATAGATACTTTCTTTTGAGTGTTTTATTAAAATCAGAATATATAAAATATAAAGTTATATAAAAATAAAATTGAAATAAAGAAATATACGAGGGTGGTCTGAAAAGTTTCCGACCTAACAAAGATACAAGTCATTTTTTCTGAAAATTGTTTTTTATTTTTCAACATAGTCTCCTTGTAAATCTACACACTTCTCCCAGCGATGCTCCCATCTCTGTAACCCGTCGAAATAGTACTCGGCGTTTTTCTCTGCAAAATAATTGTTCACGAAGGTGATTGCCTCTTCATTTGACGAAAATCTCTGTCCTCCGAGCGCAATTTTTAGATGAGGGAACAAAAA